AAAAAAAAAAAAAAAAAAAAAAAGAAAGAAAGAAAAAAACCATAAGAGGCAAAGAGAAAGAATGGAGAAAGAGCAAAGATAACAAAGTAAGCAAAAGGAGTCAGTAAAAAAAGAATGAGAAGATAGACAAAGGCAGAGAGAAAAGAACAGGAAGAAACCAGAGACAGATGAGAGGCAGACAGGGAAGATATAGGGGGCGTGGTGGAGAAAAGCAGAAAGCAGAGGTCAGACAGATGAGAGAAAGAGCAATACTCACCAAAGAGACAGGAGGAGGTGCCGGGAGGAAGAGCTTTCCTCACCAGCATATTTTGTTTCAGAAAAGCAGCAAACTGTGCTGGAATGAATCAGAAAGAATTACAGAATCACAGCCAGCCAGAGAATGAAGAAAAAGAGAAGGAATAAGAAAAAGATGAAAAAGTTCTAGAAAATGGTCAACAGGGGACTCCTTCTGAAGTTACTGCATGGGTTTGAAACCTGACTGCCATATAGCATTCTGTGGAATCATCTATAACCTGAGGATAATCTTACCTACCCGTCTCATGGGGCTGTTGCCAAGACTCAATGAGCTACAGCAAGTCAAGTGCCAAGAAGAGGGCACAGCATGTATTAAGAGCTCTGTTTATGTTAGTTAGCTATTATCATTCCTTGCTTGCCCATCAGCTCTGTTAAAGCCAGGGTTCTAACAGCTGCTGTTTTCCCCGACACTGAATCCCGTCTCGTCTCAAACCCAGCTCACCAACCAGCCTTACAGAATGCCTTAGAATCTCAACTAATCCTCCCCTTCAGAAGCACAGCAAATCGCTGACTCTGTCTTCATCAAAAGCCTAAGGGGGGCCGGCCCGGTGGCGCACTGCTACAGTGCACCGCTTGAGAGCGTGGCTGCGCTCCCACCGAGGGTTCGGATCCCACATACAGACCGGCCGCTCACTGGCTGAGCGAGGTGCGGGAGCAACACCGAGGGTTGTGATCCCGTTGCCGGTCCCGGTCCGGTCCGGTACGGTACGGGCGTGACACTGAGGGTTGTGATCCATTGCCGGTCACGAAAAAAGACAAAAAGGAAAAAAAAAAAATAAAAAGCCTAAGGGGACATCTCCCAGCTGAACTTGGCTCTGATCACCACTCAAGAAGATGCAGGTCACAGAGCATCCATGCGGACCGTAGGGGCCTGGCCTCTGTTTTGCCTCCACCTATCCACTCACACTTTTGCTTTTTGTTAGGACTCTTATGAGCAACCTCGCAAGAGGCCTGGGTTTAAGTTCTGATTCTTTGGCTCCACTAAAAGAAACACAGGAGAAGCAAGCAGATCAGCTCCTATCTCCTCTGTGTCTCTTGGCTCAACAGCCAATTTTGGCTGCGGCCTCTTCCCAAGTATTCCCATTCCTGAGATCCTCAGATGATCTGTGCTCCTGGACACATCATCAAACACTGATGCCCAAGAGGCCTTATCTCAAGGCCACTCAACTGTATCAAAGTGGGAGTGCGGGCAGAGTCACTGTTTCCTCTCCTTTCTCTACCCTCTGAACTTCCCCTTTTCTATAGCTCCTTACATAGTACCTGCAGCTTTCCAAACTCTAATTTCAACCATGCAAATATTTTCCAGCCTCCTCTAAAATGTTTCTGCAAAGAACCCTGATAAACTTCGCTGAAGGTGCCACTGTGGGGAACTTAACTCTTCAAGGGCAAAACAAAGAAAGGGCATGAAGCCAGTTGAGCTGCCCTAGAATCTGATGAATAAAGCCAGTCACCCTTTACACATGATCTGGAGAACTGCCTGACTACAGGAGTGGCTGGTGGGGTCTGAAACAAAAGATGAAGGAGCTTCCCCAATTAGAAGTTAGAAAAAAGTTTAGGCCAATATACATGTAGTCAACTCATAAAGCCTAACTTCCTCAAAACACTGAGTAAAGCTGTACACAGCCCACTGATGTACAGCCCTTGGTATTCATTTCACCCTAATTTTACTTGGACAGAAATATGGGAGAGGCTGCCTCTCACATGTCCCTGAAAAAGCTGCAAATGCCAATATTTTCCAATTGCCACATGACATCAACTACGGAAGCTAGAACTCAGGAAGGGCCACTGGCCAGGTGCCTATACCTTGGGCTTGTTTGTGGGTCAGCACAGCTTCTGTCCGCTGTATATGTCTCTTCAGCAGGTGAGAGCTCCCAATCTGACTGGACTTCTGGGCAGAGGTCACTGTGGTTACTTTGGTCTTGGGACTGGAGGTGGGGCTGCTAGACACACTGGAGAGATCCTAAGTAGGGTAAGAAGGCCAAGAGATGCGCCAATGTTGTTTGCATTCAACCATCAGTCAGCATTTCCCCCAGGAACTCTCCTCCTAGGAACTCACAGGCCTACAGCACTGACGAGGTGGACAGGCTTCCCCTGAAAGCTAACAAACCAACTCGGCAGTCCTGATTCCTCAGCAAAAGTGCGCCCCCACTGCATCTTCCCCACTTGCATTACCTCTGAGCCTGAGGGTGAGGCAGGCAGCTTGGCAGCTGGGGAGGCAGGTCGACTGCCCCGCTCTGGGACTTCAAAGGGCAGGTCTCTGCGGGTTGCATCACGGGGCTTCTTCTTTTTCTCAGCATCCTGATCTCGAGGCTCAGAGCCCACATGACCCTCAGCACGAGTGAGCACTCCAGTCAGAAAGTCCACAATCTCATCCTAATGTAAAGAGGAGCCAAGGACTACCAGTCTTCGTCTGGAGAACAGGAACCTCCCAGAAAGTTTCAAACTAAAATCAACTCCGCTTCAGCTCTGGCATCCAGATGTGCCAGTCCTTCCCCACTCACACAAAGCCTGGCACCAACCTCAGGCCCCCGAGCAGCTGTGCCTCGAGGAGACCAGCAGGAGACTCTTGGAGGGGGCACACTCCACTGCTCCTCCAGTAGACCCTTTCTCCCTCAGATACTTTACTCATATCTGAATTCACTCTCCTTTTCTCTTTTTCTCCCTCTCTTCCTGTTTCTTTACTTATGATTTAGGCATACCAGAGGTCACAGTGGATACCCCCTCATCCTTCAGAACCAAAGAGGCTATTGCTAATAAGACCAAACCTAAATGGCTAGAGAAATGCAAGCCTAGCTGAAAAAACAAGAAACAATTGTTTACCTGAATACATCTGTCCACCATGCTCTGAGTTAACCCTTCTGATTTCTTCTTTGCTTTGCTTATTCTAAGAGACAAAAAGGAGGAAATGTTTACTTTTTAAACATTCCATGGCATCCCATGGAAATAAGACTGGATTTTTCTTCTGTACTTGTTGTTTTCTAGACCCAGGAAAGAGGACTACATTAGCTTTCAGGCAGGTAATGCAACCTCTCTGAACCTGCTTCCACATCTGCAAAATCGTGGATCATAATACCTTATTCGTGGCAATGGTGGCTTTTAAACAAAATAACATATGTAAAGAAACAAGCACACAGCCCAGGACTGTCCACTCCAAAAATCCTATACTTATGGCTTAACAGATAAATTCTATCTAGAATGCCAAGACCTCATCTAAAGGTCCTCCAACACAGCCCCAAACCCTAAGCCGCAACCTAGATTCATAGAAGGGCAGGAAAGTTGTTCACAGGTTAGTTCTAAAGGATAAGAGAAAATGACCACAGCCAGCTTGCTGCATTCCCCTCTTTAAAAATTAGCCTTAAAAACCCTGGCTTCCACCAGGGGTTCACAGCAAGGAGAGAACCAGGGCATGAAGTGACAGGACAGAGAACACAATATGAGCCTCCAAATTCTAACATTTACTGGATGTTGACCTCTAATCTTATGTAACACCATCATTTTACAGATGAGGACAGTGAGTCACAGAAGTTAAGCAATTTACCCAAGCTGCTTAGCAAAGTAGTCAAGACTAATTAAGATCCCCCAATTCTGGGCCGGCCCGGTGGCGCACTGCTACAGTGCGCCGCTTGGAAGCGCTGGTAGCGCTCCCGCCGAGGGTTCGGATCCCACATACAGACCGGTTCCCGCTCACTGGCTGAGCAAGGGGCGGGCACAGCACCGAGGGTTGCGATCCCGTTGCCGGTCCTGGTCCGGTATGGGCGCGACACTGAGGGTTGCGGTCCGTTGCCGGACATGAAAAAAGACAAAAAGGAAAAAAAAAAAAAAAAAAGATCCCCCAATTCTCAGTCCAATGTTCTTGGCACCATGCAAATATGTCTCATAAACAGCCTCACAATGTAACTCTAAATAACAGCATTCCCATATCTCTCCACTCCTGCACAACTTACTTTTTTTTTTAATTGGCAGCTGGCCAGTTGGGGGATCTGAACTCTTGACCTTGGTGTTAGAACACCACGCTCTAACCAACTCATCTATCTGGCCAGCCCACTCACAGCAATTCAATACATACAATTAATATTCCTGTAGATAAGAATGTCTGACTTATCAAGAAAAAGTGTTTATGTGAAAACACTGCCTTGAGCACCAAAAGACTAGACACTAAATTCACAAGAAGCTGGCAAATGACAAAGGCCAGAAGGACTATTCTAAAAGGTCTCTGACCAAGAAACTGGAAAGACAGCTAGAAGTAGGTACTTACTTAAAGCTCTTTAGCTAAAACATGCAACTGAAATTAATCTCTAAGATTGAGCGTATAGAAAAAGGAGGCCACATAAATAATACAACCTCTTTTTCAGTACATTTCATGAAGACATAACAGCCTTACATGCTCCAGCTCGTAAGGGCATAGTGGCTGTCTCAATGACCAAAGTCACTTTCTAAAACCCTTAACAAACTTTGGCTATGTTTATACTCCAAAATATATCAAAGGATGCTTAATACAATAACATCTACATTCACTTTCATCCTTGGTAAGGAATAAAAAATTTTTAAATGCCTACCCCAGCGAAAGTATAATTACAAAGAGTAAATTTACAGTCTCTTGTCCCCACAAAATAACCACTAATTACAAAGGGAAAAAGAGTTACTTCACAGTGGAGAACCTGGCAGAAGCTATCTTAACCATGTGATCAAGGTTATTATCAGCAATGATAAGACAAATCCACACCGTGTATCCCCTGTTGGAAAGCACTGAGAAGGGCATATCACCTCTGTGGCATTCCTGCCAAAAATGCATATCCTGAAGGTAATCATAAGAAAATGTCAAAACCCTAAATTGAGGGACAGTCTACAAAACTCTTCAAAAATTTCAAGGTCATGAAAGGCAAAGAAAGACTAAGGCACTGTATCAAGAGAGACTGAAAAGACATGGTAACTCAATGCAACATGTGATCCTGGACTGGATACTGGACCAGAAAAAGGACGTTAGGGAAACAACTGATGAAATCTGAGTCTGTAGATTAGATAACAGTATCATATCAATGTTAATTTCCTGATTTTGAGAATTATACTTCAGTATGTAAGATGTTAACATTTGGAAAACCTGGGCAACAGGTATTTGAGAATTTTTTGTACTAGCTTTGCAACTTTCTATAAATCTGAAATTTAAAAAATGTAGGAAAGAATTTTTCCCCCCCCCCAAAAGATGACCAGTAAGGTGATCTTAACCCTTGTCTTGGTGTTGTCAGCACCACGCTCTCCCAAGTGAGCTAACCAGCTATACCTATATAGGGATCCGAACCTGTGGCCTTGGTTTTATCAGCACCATACTCTCCCAAGTGAACCACAGACTGGCCCCCCAGAACGAAATTTTTTAATGCCCACTTATTTTTTGGGGGGGGATGGCTGGCGGGTACAGGGAACCAAACACTTGACTTTGTGTTACAAGACTGAGCTCTAACCAACTGAACTAACTGGACAGCCCCTCAATGCCCACTTTTAACTGAACCAGATTAATCTATAGTTACATCACTACCTTACAGGCATTTCTCTAACACTGTAACATAGCTATCTCAAAGCCCTGGGGGAACCTACCAACCTGAGATTATCATCAGCTCCCCCAACCACCACCAAGCTGTTCTCAGCCCGAATCTTCTCCCGGAAGTCTTCCATAGCTTCAGGATGACACTGCAGGGAATTCTGACCAATGACAAAGAGGACTGGTGTCTTCATATCCAAGACAGGATCATCCACATCCTAAAACAGGTACAGGTTTTAGAATTGGCCAGGTCATATTTATAAAACACTGTCCTGGAAACTTGGCTCAGGAGAATTAGCTCTGCAACTGCAATCTGCCTCAACACTGGCTATGACAAGGCATGTACACCCTCATTCCCACTGCCACAGACCCAGAAATCTGCTTCACCTCCTTCTTACCCCTCTGGGGCCATCCACGGTAAGCAGAGGAAACCCAAGGCAGACAACTGCAGTGACATACTCCATCACCGACACCTGTAAATAACAGCAAGGTTTGTCTAAAGGTCAACTGACTTCACCACACCTCAGCCTACCCAGAATCCAGGAGTAGTCCAGACCTACCAGCCAGCCCCATCTTCTCTTCCCCTGTCCTGACCTCAAGGTGCTTAAGTCACAGCAGGAGCACTAAGAGCACGAAATACAGGGTGTACAACTCCACGAGCAGCCACTACCTAGAGAATAAGGACCCTAAAAGACCCCAACAGATGGCTGAAGGTTGGGAGGTTTAATACTTCTGCCCCATCAATGCCTAGACTAGAGCCCTCCTGCTCCATTTTTCTCCACTAATAATAAACACAATCAAGAGAATACAGATGTTGCCATTCTCCCTTCAGTTAAGAAAAATCTCTCTCTGTTGAACTTTACGAATCGCTCCCAGACATCTCAGATTTCTTAGCGCGGTTACTAAGTCGACTGTTCCTGGGAGCAGGGAGTATGGGGAGATGGCCTTCTTCCTTTCATGGCGCTGGATATCATACTTGACTAGACTGCATGAAACAGAAGAACTGGGGCTTTGAACATGTCAGGGACACTTACACAAATTGAGAGATATGCAAACGTATATAAAATAATAAAGAAAAGGTTCCTCGATGTCTTGGAAAACGACTGAAAATGAACACAACATCAAATTCCAGAGCTATTAATTTCTGCCTACTAGAATTATTGTTAATTTTTCAGGTGGGCGGATAGTATGATACATATGTTTGGAGAAAAAGTATTCTACCCCAGGACATCCTCCAGTTTCTCAGTGACCTCCAAAAAAAAATGGAAATTACTTACGTGACAGGCCACCAAAGCTCCTGTGTTCCAGCCAATCAAGATAATGGGTTTGTGTGGGAAATGGCTGTGAATCTTTGTGGAAAAAGAAAAAAGACAATAAGACAGGAGGTCACAGGTGGGTGCAGAACAAGCCCAGAAGGCTGGGTGTACCACAGTGAACTGAAATAGGGACATTCTCACCTCCAGCACTTTGCTTCTCACTGCCCCAATCATGTGCTCAAGACACTGCAGAACTCCTACCCCACTGCCACTGTTCAGCAGATGGGTGGCTACAGGGATGACCTAAAGGAAAGAAGTGGCACCCATGCCACAGAAGTAAGTTTCAAATCTTCTGTCAATTCTGCTTAACCTACCCTAAAACTTTTCAACCCAGAGTGAGCACCACTCGAATTCCAAACAAAAGAAGAGTTAGGACATGCTCCACATTTAAGTTCATCCATTTTGACCCCCTCCTGCACTTTCTTCTCCTCAATCCTCCAAGACTATATTCCCACCTAGGAGAGAGTTCCTCTTGCCCCCATACATACCTTGCCTAAGCAAGAGAGCTGAGACTGCCAGAACCGGTGTCGGCGTGAGGTGGGGAACACAGAGCTGGAGGGGCCAGAGGAGGCAATAAGAATCAGGGGAGAGCCAGGGAGTTTGCTCTAAAGAGAAAGAATCCCACCCAAGAATCAGTGAGTGAGAGCTGTTCTTCAACGAAATCCCAAATATCCCAATGCCTTTCTTATCCCAACCAATGTTTCTTTGCTTATGAAACTATGTTAAGCACTATATAAAAGAAATTATTAACAAAAAAACTTAAGCAAGCTATTTATCATCCTTTTGCCAAGGTCCTGAGGCTTGAGTCTAAAAATTCCATGACACAGTTAAGTCCTGAGCCATCCAACTTACTGGTTTGTTATGAGAAAGCACCCCCACAGCAGGGTCCCAGGGCCTCTTCAGTAGGAGAGACAAGGCCTCAGCTCCAGCAGCCCCAGTCTTTGTATTGGATGACACAAGCATCCGGTCAATCAAGGTTGGGATCTAGAAAGATGGAAGAACAAAGATGCTTCCAGTGTGAATCAGGAGACCTTCCTACCACCAGCAATCAAGGAGGAGGACAGAGCCCCACTATGAGCCATAGACAGACTTCAACTTTCCTCAGGGAAAAAACTCAAACTTTCCTCAGGGGTAAAAGCACAAATAAATCGATGGCTGAAAGGTATGTTCCCACCATGAAAGGTAAAAATGGGTATAGCTCTTTGGAAAGTAATCTGGTAATATGCATCAAGGGACTTAAAATTTATTCCTATCCCTTTTCCAAACAATTCTACTTCTGAAAGCCTTCCCTAAGAAAATATATCAGAAATACACACATACACACACGCACACACAAACAGCTGGGGAGAGTTATGCACAGAGGCAAATTTGCTGCCAATATAATAATCAAAAAGTGGAAACAAACCTAAATGTATATATAAGGGAGTGGTTAAGCAAATTATCCACCTAACTAGATATTAAAAATTACTTTCAAATAATTATAAGAATTTGTAATAACATACAGTAATAAATTTGCTAAAATGTTACAGGTAAAACAGAAAATATAAAAATGATCTCTACTCAGAAAAAAAGACTAAGAAAATATGCTTAAATGTTAATAATAATCTCTATGGAGTTATGGATGATTTTTTCCTTTATAGATCTGTGTTTTCTAAATTTCCTCAATGAACATCACTTGATTTTATAATTAAAAAAAAAAAAAAAACTTTAAGATTCCCATACTGGCCAGCTGCCAAAAAAAAATCTGCATTTTCTTCTAGAGTACTGCCTTTGAGCCGTGGCATGTTGTGTCCAAAAAAATTACCCTAAATACATACAAAATATACAAAACATATTGTGACTTATACCATATCCTGTTTACTATACACCAAAAACATGACCTCACAGATGTGTAAATACAGGTTTCAGGCACGCTGATGAAGCATGAGAAGAAATATCTGTGTGAAAAGGTCAACGTGACCTAGAGGAAAGGAAAGATTTTAAATGTTAGGGGTAGTTTACAGAAAACAAACAAAAAGAGAATAAAAAGTACTATCGTTTGATGCAAATTGTAAAACTTCAAAGACAGCAGGAGAAGATCAGCTGCTCCTAATTTAAAAGAGAGGAGAAAAAAAGATTTCTGCATGAGAAATTAGGAGATTATAACCATAGGACTTTCTCAATTTAACTCAGGAAACAAATGTTTACGCAACAGCTGCTGTTATAAGGCACCAGACTAGTACTGCAGAGGAATTTAATCTACAAGGGATAATGAAGGCAAAAACACAAATAACAAAAGGGGGATGGAGTGCGGCTGACAACTGCCATGAAAGAAACAGAAGCCCCACACTGCTATGATTCAAACCATCCAATGGAGAGGAGGAAGTTAGGCAATTTTCATCTGAAGATGCAGCATGTGAAATGAGTTGGGCTTTTTAGAACAGGCAGCATTCCAACAGAAGATGAGAGAAAAGCTTTCGAATCAGAAACACCAGCAGGAAGCAAGACTGTGAGGGGCTCATTCCAGGCACAGGTGGACTGAAGTCGAGGGTTTGAGTAAGTAGAGGATGTAAAGCTAGTAACAAAGGCTGAGGCCAAACAACAAAGGATCTTCACTCCAAACTGGCCATTCTTTGTAACTCACTCTATAATTGTGAACCACTCAACACTGAGGCAGAGGATCTGATCTGAGTTAATTTAAAAAGCTTTATCTGGTAGTAGAGTACAACCTATGAAACCAAAAAGCCTTAAAACTTGCTTTCTGTCAACACAGAATAAATAATTACTCAATAACTGACTTCTCCACTTGGAACTGGGAAGACCAAGCTTCCCTGGCCTCTCCAGCATTGCATTCACTCTAAAGAGCCAAATAAGAGAATAGGGTCTGTACCTTCTCTGCACTCTTCAGAATGCATCTAATGGTGAAAGTAGCTGGGCTAAGAGCATGATCCCATCCACCAGCATTTTAACATCCAGCAGGCACTTTAAAAGTGAAATCATCCCATAATCATGTATTCCCCTTTGGGAAACAAAGTATTTGGTATGAATCTAAACACAGTCTGAGGGTAGAGGAACCACCCAGGAGAGCACAGCCCAGAATGTTCAGTGCCTCAAATCTGAGGCCCTTGCTGATTGGTGCACTAGTGAGTCTATGCCATTCCAGCTAACCCTCACTATGAGCCAGCAGCCTGGGCAGGCAACACCCACTGTGCACACCTGCGGAGTCCCCCAGTGGTCCGTCATTCTCATAATATCTGAATACTACTTCATTCACACAGGACATGTCCACCAGTAACTTAAATGGGGACACAGTGCAAACTCTTCCTTACAAGGGAAATCACATCCAAATCACGCTGGCCATGACAAGTGAGGCAGAGCCACCAGAGAATTGGGACCCTGGGCACTACCAACACTCACCCCCTACAGTGTACTCCCCAATGTACTTTTGCCATAGGTAGAATGCTGTGGAGAACATATTTGAAAATGCTTACAATACCCATGGGCCACCACTGTCTGCCAGGGTCTTATCTTGACCACACCCCACCCATGCCCATGCCTACCCACCATTCACCTCCCAGGCCCAGGGTTTCCACTGCAGAGGAGCAATACAGAGGGATGTATGGGACTCTCTTTGCATTTATATCTTTCTCCACTAGAAAATAAGCTCCCCCAGAGCAGTTGTTTTGCTCACCCCAGTGCCTGGCACACTGTAGGCACAAAATACTAGTTGAATCAAGTTGTCCAAGGCCACAGAACCTATGATGGTACCACTTAAATAATCATCAACAGTTATTGTGGGCTTACTATGTCCCCAACCTTATGCCAGGTACTCACTCTACCTAGACTTATTTAATTTTCACAATAACCCTGGACAGGTATTATTAGCCACATTTTAGACATGAGGAAACTGAGCTATTACATTAGTCCAAGCTTACACAGCTAATCAGTGACAGGGCTGATACCAGACAGGTAATCTGCCCCCAGAACCTGCATTCCACCTCCCTTGTACAGCCTGGCACAATCACTAAGATTACAATAAAATAGAATCACCAAGAAAAACAGTTTAACTCTGCTCAATACTGTGTAAGTAAGAAAGCAGGGAAATGTAATGATACATTGGTATTGAATTATTAAGGTCCAAGTACTGCTACTAAAGGCTCATCCTGTGATGAGGAGAGACAAAAGTATCATGGCACTTCCTTGCTCTGTAATCCCCCTGGCACTCAGCACCGTGGGTCTGCTTCTTATACCCTTCTCAACACTCTTCCCTGGTAAACCCTTTGCTTCCTTTGTGATAAGTCAATTCAACCATGACTCAAACCACAAGCTGCAAGACTACAGAGGCTAAATGTGTATTTTGGTTTTCCGGCCCCTACCTCATCCTGGAGACAGCAGGACTGAAGACATTTTTTACACCAGACACAAGTGTGAAATGATACCTTGTCTCCTATTTTTAACAGCAAACCCATTAGCTTTGGCCATGCCCTTCACGCTGACTAGGTAATAACCTTGCCCAACCCCACTTCCTGAACCCACAGCAGAAGCTGGCTTCCCCTAGGCCAGAGCAGATGCCAATCACAGCCTTACCTTCCCTTTCAGTGTCTGCAAAGCATCCAGGTAGGCTGCCAGCATGGGCAGACTCAAGGTCTCCACAAGGGTGGTATGCAGCCACTGGATCAGCTTGGTGTCCCAGCTCACACTTGCCAGAGCCTGCCGCACTCTCCTTGCACACTTGTCCACGGCAACACGGCGCAGCACTGGCTCACTACATGCCTGAAAGATGTAAATGCAAGTGATAAAACAGAAGGACCACTTGGTTAGCAAGCGGGGGGAACAAGTCAGTCAGCCAGCGAGGCCTGAAGTGGAAAGAGCCCACTGTGAGCAGATTTCTCGTGTCTTACCCCTTCATTGGCCAAGCGGGCAAGCCGATCAGACTGCAGGGCTTTGAGGATCTTGTTGAATAGCTTGTTCTGGGCCATTGTCCAACCAGTCCTATAAGGGAAACTCTGAGGAATTAAAGTCAAACCCTGGGGACAATCTTCATGTATGTATACCATATTAAGATTATGCCATGTTTTTTATTCCCATATGAAACAGAATGACTCAAAGCAGTTTAGTCTAAGACCACTGAGCTAAAATATAAATCCTAAATTCTGGTCCCAATCCTGCCAATGAATCGCCTCAGCACATAGTTGTATTAATCATATACACACTACAAGTCAAGACCAATCACAAATGAAGTGTTTTTGTGCTAGCAAAGCTAATTATTTTACTTAGTAGCTTAAACAATACCATTACTAAATAAAAGCATAGCACCATTGCACAGACATATTTGAATTTTTAAGTTTCAAATTTCACCTAAAAAGGCAGACAGGATCAGCAAGCATTTTAATGTGCTAAAACTTCAGACTAAGGTAAGAGATCTATTTAAACTACCTTTAAAAACAAAAATAGAGCAGAAATATAACTGATGAGGTAGCTACTCTCCCACACCCCAATATTTCACCCACGAATAATCTCTCTCCATTTCCCATATGTATTTTGTGTATCTTTCTGTATGTCACAGAATTAGCAAATTTATTTTTGAACAGCCTGTTCCATATAATGTTAACATTTTATCATCCCAGTGTATGATACTGGCATACACACATCTATCTTGCTAAATAATAGCTTTATGTGTTCTTTTCCAACTCAGCTGTAAACTCCCTGCAATCAGAAATATATCCTACTGTTCTTATCCCCACCTCGTCACACCCAGCACAGTAGTATGAAGCTTATTAATGTCCTTCTTCACCCCACTCTCGACAGTCTTAATTAGTCTGATACTCCAACTCTGGCTAGTAATCTTCCTAAACAAAGAGAAAGGCAACAGAAGATGCTTAATTAATACAGGTTAAACATCCCTAACTCAAAAACCTGAAACGCTCCAAAATCCAAAACTTTCTGCACACCAACAAGACACTCAAAGGAAATGCTCACTGGAGCATTTTGGATTTTGGATTTTCAGATTAGAGATACTCAACTGGTTAAGTTTCTGCAAATATTCCAAAATACAAAAAAGTCCAAAATCTAAACCACTTCTGGTCCCAAGTATTTCAGAAAAGGGATACTCAATCTTGTACCAACATTCTAGGAAAAAAGTGATTTAAATAAATATATCTATATATGAGTGCTTGTATATGTGTATATGTACACATACACACATATACATACATACAGCTATGCACCACATAACATTTCAATCAACAACAGACTGCATATATGACAGTGGTCTCCTAAGATTATGATGAGTATACCATATAGCCCGGGTGTATAGCAGGCTATACCATCTAGGCTCTGTAAGTCACTCTGATGTTTGCACAATGACAAAAACACCCAACAACACATTTCCCAGAAGGTATCCCCATCATTTAGCAAAACATGACTATAACAGGGATCTTCAAAAAGTTCATGGAAAAATTCATACTATCTTTCAATTTTTTAATGAACTTTTTGAAGTACCCTCATGTATTTGTATGCTGGAATGAGTAAGGCCTTTCTAGATGACCCAAAACCTAAATGACATAAAAGGACTGGCTGGTTAGCTCAGGTGGCTAGAGTGCAGACTTGTAACACCAAGGTCACGGATTCAGATCCCTGTAACAGCCAGCTGCCAAAAAAAAAAGAAAAAATGATGATGCTAGATGACATAAAAGGAAAAGAGATAAATGTAATTACACAAAAACTTCAAACTTCTGTAAAGGAAAAAAAAAGTCATAAAGTCAAAACAGTGGGAAAATAACTACCATTCCATTAAAATAGGAGGAGGCTATAGAAAACTAATAAGAAAAAATGAAATACTCAACAGGCAAAGAACATGAAAAGGCAAGTCACAAAAAAACTATAGTCGACCTTACTTAAAAATTAAACAAATACAAATTAAAATAATAAAGATATTTTTCACCCATCAAGTGGGTAAAAATTAAAAAGTTTAATAATACTCTGTGTTGTGAGAGTGTAAGGAAATAGATCCTTCCATATCTTGTTGATGGAAATACAAATTAGTAAACAATCTTTTGGAAAGTCAATTTGGAAAACCAATTTTAGAAAAGCAATAAAAAAACCTAAGTCAGATCATATTGCTCCTCTGCTTAAAGTCCTTAGGTGGTCCCTTTTCACACAGTTAAAAGCCAAAGTCAGTTTCCTCCTCTAGTTTTGAATTTCATGAGAGCAGGGACTTGACCTAAGTGGTTCACAACTGTATTTCAAGGGTCTACGCACTCTAGAACAACACCTCCATATAGTAGATAGTCAATAAACATCTGTGGAATAACTTTAAAAAAAAAAAAAAGGGCCGGCCAGTCAGCTCAGCTGGTTAGAGCATGGTGCTGATAACCCCAAGGTCCAGTGTTCTATCCCTGTAGCAGCCAGCCAACAACAGAAAGCCAAAGTCCTTGCAATTGGTTGTGTGGACCCCACTGCCTTTCCAAGCCCATCACCCATGATGGCCCCTCACTTACTTTGTTTCAACCACACTGACCCCCTCTAACTCACACATACATCAGACATGCTCCTGCATCACCGATTGGGCCCTTCAGTTCCTCCCCCCGACCTGAAACAATGGCTCCCTCTCTCATCCCTTTCAGGTTGTTGCTCAAATGTCACCTTCTACTGAGGCTTCCCCTGACTCCCTCCCTGCCAATTACAACTGCAACACCCCAATGCCAACCTGGGATTCCTTAACCCCCTTTCCAGCCATATCACCAGCTCACATTCAATCTACTCTACTTATTTGTCTCCCTCTGCTAGAACGTAGAAGCCAAGATGGCCAGGATTTTTGTTGGTTTTAAGTGCTGTATCTCCAGCACATAAAACAATGCCTGACACACACGAAGGAGTTAAACATCTGCTGGTGAACACTGCATTCTAAGTTCTGTGAACTGGGTCCAGATTCCAACCATCACCCTCCATACCATACTAAACACATGGGTACTGAACAGCAGAGAAAAACACAGAAACGTGATTTACACTCAATGCTAAATTGAGCCCTTCACCATATCAAGACAGTCAAACTGCAAGGAAGCTGCTTGAAATGATATCATCAATCTCAGTTTCTCTGACTTCATACTAGAGAAGCAACCCTTCCATCTCACCCCACCCCAAGATACCCTAATTTCTACAGGTCATCACTCTAGGAACACCAAGAACATTACCCAATGAGTTTGCAGATGGAAGACAAATTACCCTATGTTATTCACTTTGTACAGCTAACTATCCCAAAGTCCCTGGATAGGGCAAATACCCTCTAGAAAGGAAGAAAATAATGGCCCAATTACTTTCTCTTCTGTAAAATAAAGTCTCCACCTACCACATCTCCAGTTTTTTACAACTTACCACAGTTACACAGCCCAGGAGGATTCTAACTAGGAGCCAGAACTCACTCTATCCAGCTCTGCAATAAAGAGGGGCCTGCGTGCCCTGAGTCACCTTGTCTATAAAATAGACATGGACTAAACAATTTCTTTTGGCAATAAAAAATTAAGGTTAGCTATGACTATCGATGGGAGCAAATTATAATGAGTAAGTGAAATCCACGATTACAGAAATAGAATGGGTTGCCTGTCTTCTTCAGAAGTGCCCTCTATCTTCAGATGCTTTCCTTGCTAAAGCTAAATCCCTTCTTAACCTCTGTATTAGTCCATTTTTGTTGCTTATAACAAAGTACACTGAACTAGATGATTTATAAAGAAGATGAAATTTACTGCTTACAGCTTCTGAGGCTGAGAAGTCCAAAGTCCATCTGGTGATGGCAACAGTGACCCAGGGGTCTCACATTGCAAGACGGTGGAAGCAGAAGGAGCAAGAGAGAGAGAGAGACTCTCTCTTCTTTTAAAGCCCTCAGAACCACACCCCTGACCCTGACCACCATTTTTAATCCATTCACTATTGCATGGTCCTACAATCCAATCACCTCTTCAAGGCCCCACCTTTCAATTACCATAATAGGATTTCCCACCCTCTTAACAGTCACAGTGGGGGCCAAGTTTCTAATACATAAAACTTGGGGGACACAATTCAAGCTTCAGGGAGTTATGGGGAGATATAATTCAATACACTACATTCCTCCCCTGGCCCCCCAAAACTCATGTCCTTTTCACATGCAAATGCATTCATTTCATCCCCAAAGTCTTAACTTGTTTCAATTCAAGAGTCCAAAGTTCAAAGTCCCATCTGTGAAATCAATACAAATTATCTACTTCCAAGATACAATGGTGGGACAAACATAGGGTACATATTCCCATTCCAAAAGAGAGAAATAGGCCAAAAGAAAGGGGTAACAGGTCCCAAACAAGTCTGAAACCCAGCAGGACATGCACTGAATCTTAAAGCTGGTGAATCTTGTAACTGGACTCCATGTTCAACATCTTCTGCACACTGGTGTGGAGGTTCAGTCCCCAAGTCCTCAGGCAGCTCTGCTCCTATGGCTTTCCTGATCTCAAGTGATGCTTTAGCTCTCCCTAACTGTTGTTGCATGCTGACAGCTCCACAGGTCTGGGGAGGCCATGGTGGTCCCACTCTCACTGCTCCACTAGACATGGCACCGATGAGGTTTCTCTGCCGCAACTCTGACACCACTTTCTGCTTGGTATTGCTCTACCAAAGGTTGTCTGCGGTGACTCTGCCCCGTGACAGATCTCTTCCTAGGCCCTCAGACTTTTCCATACATCCTCTGAAATCAGGGTGGAGGCTCCCAAACCTCCACAGCTCTAGCATTCTGCAAGCCTGCAGACCTAACACCATGTGGATGCCTCCAAGGCTTCCAGCTTGTATTTTCCAAAGCTGCACATCCAGCCACACCTTGGGCCAATTTACCCACACAGCTGGAGCAGCCAAAGCAGCCGGGGTGCCGATGCTGGAAGCAGCTTCCCAAGGTGTTCCTGGGCAGTGAGCCTGTGGAGGGTGCCTCAGGCCTGTTCCCCAAGATCATTTTGTCCCCCTAGGCCTTTGGGCCT